GAGTACGACTAGCCATACCTGCAACTTTTGGTTGCCTATTTAAGTAGTCTGCCCGAGGTTCCACACTAGCTGCCATAGAATTTTTATTTTTATTTGCTATAAATAATATATATAATATTAATTTTAATCAACTATTCAATATTAGAATAAACAAAAAAATAATTTAATACAATTTAATTTAGAAGTTATTATATACATCTATCTTTATATAAAATTGTAATAAATAAAGTTTCTTTATCACACGCCAAATGATAAAGTCATAGTCTCTCATAATATATAATAAAGCTATCTTAAATGCTATCTTAAATATAGATTACGGATGAATAAAGTAGAACCTATTTATTAAAAAAAATAAAATAAAATGAAAAATAAACATATATATAGATTTTATTGCGTTTCTAAATAACTACAGAAACCCTATTTTGAACTTATTAATTTCAAGATCCCCGAAATATGAAACTCTTATCAAACATTTTCTCATATTTAAGTAAAGCTTCGAATATTACGAAGTTACTATTACTTTCAAGTTACACTTTTGTGAGTTAATTAGGAACTTCAACGCCTATACCTATTACACATTATTATATAATTTTCTAAATTAAATACAGTTTCTAAGTGAAGTTTACCCAGGTATGGTGAATTCCAGAGTTACCCAAGATACTTAAGACTTCATTTGTAAAGTTTTTTGTAGTATTATGAATGACGGTTACATTAAAAAAAAAGTTTACTAAGTTGTGTAAAGTACTCTAGATTGTATAAATTCAATTGTATAAAATTAACCAATGAGAAAGTTACCTATAAATTACTAATGTTCAATAAATAACTAACAAGAGAAACTGTCGCATTAGACCAGTAAGTCTTTAATCTAGTTAAAAATACTCATAAAGTGATTATACAAAAAGAGCAAGGTCATATTATAGTTGAATTTGTGATTGGAGAGAGATTAAAGTAATGCCAAATTGCCCGATGTAGTGGTAAAATTAGGGATCCGGGATTATGTTTCCAATTTTTTCAAAAAGACATTTGATTAGTCAGGTCTGCTTGGTCTGTTCTGGTTTGCTTCGCTCTGTTGTAGCACAGCAAAAGCAAGACCAGCCACTGAACTATACAACGCCTTCAACTTTGTGATGCAGTAAATCTATTTTTTAGATCACCATGTAGGTGCGCTAACACATTTGCTTATAATCTTCGCTTATAAAGTAGAAACTTTAGATTATCAATTCATCAGGGCGGCAAAAAATCCGAATGAAAAAAAAAAGTAAAACAGAAAATAACGAAATTGGTTGTAATATATCTACAAAAGAACCATTCATTTTTTTGACATATTGTCAAAAATTTTCTTAAAAACACATTTGTAAAAATATCCAGTGCTCTTGACCGGTCTGGTCTGGTCTAGTTTGCTCTGCACTGCTCTGCTATAGCACAGACCATACAACGTTTTCTTTTTAACCATTTTTTCGTTAAAAATGGATTTTGTTATTATATAGCGGTAAAAATAAAAATAGCAAGATTGTGTTTCACCAAATTTAGAAAAATTATACTGACGTCCATTATGCTTATGTCCAATAAGCAACTAATGCTTATGTCCAATAAGCAACTAATGCTAATGTCCAATAACGCATAAACCCTCATTCCAAAATTAAAACTGAGAAATAATTAACCATTATCCGGCAAACTCATATGATCATGAAAAAATTTCTTTCTGTTATTTTTTTCATGTGTTACTGTTATTCCAATATTCAAAAAATAAAACTCAGCGAGCGACTCCCTACCAACCATGATCATAAATTGCCGGATAACACCATTATTGGGCAAATTGTCGAATACGGTAATTTGGCAAATGATTGGCTACACGTGCCGCAAAGCGGCACGTGCTCATTTGCCAAATTGCCGTTATTCGCCCAATAATGTATACTTACGCTAATACAAATAATCGCAAGTAGCAATTATGCTAATATTGTTAATGAATATCTAATTATGCTAGTGTATTCATTAGTAATAAACAGAATATGAGATGATGATCTTGATGTAATGATTGGAAATATTATTACTAGAAATGGCATTTTTTAATAAGTAAAATACATATACTTTAACTATCCAGTAATAATTGCGAACGCATTTTTTTATTTGAAGAAATTTTTTATACGTAGCATTATTGCATTACGATGCATTTATAAAATACCCCAAAATTTGAAAATTTTGACTACCTCATGCGAGTCATTTAATTGACTTCATATATATCGATACCGATATCGATATGAAATCATATAATATTTGACTTAATGTGTTAACTTAGTCAATCCCATTTTCGACCCTCAGACTTATTATTTTGATTTAAACAATGATATACGTAGCAAAATATATACAAATACTTTTTAGCTAAAAATTATTTTAATATGTAATGATAAATTTAAAATGGGTTGTCCGAATTTTACTGAAATTTAAAATAAGTATTATAGATCGGAGTGTTAATAATTTTTTTGGAGGGTTCAATCTTAGAAAATCAATAATAAATTTGGCCCCTAAAATTTAAATTTGGGGACTAAAAAGTAGTTAAATTTGACAAATCCGTAATGTATTAAAATTATCAAGTGTGTATAATTTATGCCTCATTCTATTACAATAAACAATTATAACCAATAATCGGTCCGAGCCTATCACAATCTTACAGTTTTTAATAAAAAACTGATCAAACCCATTTAAGATTCATTCAAGATTAACTTTTTCCTTTGTATTTATGTGATTCTAAAAAATGTTCTTTGAAAAAAATCTCCTACGGACTCACATGGGTTAGTTAAATTCCATAATTTTGATTTATGCAAAAATTGTCGATTTTAAATAAATTTGGAACCGTGATTTACGAATCGAACATCATGTTTAATAATTTAATGATTAACGTGATTATATACATATATTGCATATAATTCACTCGCGTTTGTATTTAAACCGTAGCTTTTGTCTCGCATTTTTACCTCAATCTCTTAAAGATTACGATTACAATCTCTTTAAGTTTTTTTTCTTTGACATTTCAACTTGGAAAAATATTTATTATTCTTCCTGGCTTAATTTTTACCCATCTCTTTATATCATTTTCTCAAATATATATATACAAAATGAAATTTGCTTTTGGAATCGCTTTAACTATCCTTTTATTCTTTTTAACCTCTCCTATCGATGCTAAAGACAGTAACAAAAAAGGTTTCTGTGGTAATCGTAATGGACATGGTAGACAAATTAAATCTGGGTTTTGCAGCGATACCTTTCTAGGAGAAATTCCATCAATTAATAATATGACTTCCAGTTTAATCATTACACCTAAAAATGAAGCTACATTGAGGCCTAACAAAAATTTCACTGTTAGTATTAAGATTAAAAATCTTAAAACTGGATTTTTTAGCGATCCGGAGAAACAATACTACGCTGAACCGCAAGCTCTTTCTGGCAAAATAGTTAGAGGACATTCTCATATCACTATCCAACGTTTGGATAGCGATGAAACTGTTCCAGATGCTAAAAATTTTGCATTTTTTGAAGGGTTAAATAACGCTGCTAAAAATGGTATTCTGACGGTAGAAGTCAGTGGCTTAGATGCTGGTAGATACAGAATTTGTACCATGTCCTCATCATTCACCCATCAGCCACTCGTTATGCCAGTTGCTAAACGCGGTTCTCAAGATGACTGTATCCGTATCCGTATTTCTGACTCTGATAAAAAACATAAACCCCGCAGCTTAATGTGATTTTTTCTTTTTCTTTTTTAAACTAGTTTATAGAAATTTAAACATTAATTTAATTGGCAGGTCCATTGTAATATTAATGTTTTTTACTGGACCTTTTTCTTAGTTCCTTTATTTTTTTATGCATCCTTAGAAATTAATGTTGGAAAAAACATTTGACACATTCTCGATATTTTTAATATGATAAAGATGTATATATTATCTTCAAACAATAAAAGCATAAAAAAAATCTTGTTATGATTATAAAATGTTAAGGGTTAATATAAAGTATGTTATACGGTTCAGAGTGTATAAAATGTATTACAAAACATGTGCACAACGTGCACAATTAAAGATAAAAAAACATGTGCACTGAGCATATTGTGCACATTGATTTTTATACACTGGTCAACAGGAACATTTGCTCTATTTGTTTGTTTAAAAAATTTTATTTTTTTCTCATTTTATACATTCGTATTACACATTGTTCATATTAATTACTTTTCTACCCACATTATCTT